GGAGCATGTCCCAACGTTTTCAGGCATGCATACACGCACTTGGGGGCCATACAAATTACTTAATACCATTTTGAGTTGCTGCAATGAAATTTCAGCAAAATGGACTAGCCTGCCAGATCACTTTTTTTACTGTAATTTTTGGGCTGTCTCAGAATTCAGCCCTCTGTAGGTTGATCATTTTCATTTCCTTAAAATGATGTGGCATCCTTTTGTTCCTAACACATCACCCAGTTCATATCGGTATAAATAAACAGAATGATTTTTTGCCCCATTGAGATCTGATGTGTTTTCAAAGTGTTCCTTTAATTTTATTGAGAAGTGTATTTGCGTTTCTTTTGCAGCCACATAGCAGCTCTAAGTCACAGAGTTAATCTCTGACTGAAAGGAGGGTTTAGAAATAGGCCTATTTGATAGTCAAAGCAAGACAATCTGGGGAAAAACAAAAGCATGGTCCAAACTGAGACAAGTAAATGATTCATCAACACAGCAGCAAATTTAAAACAGAATGACTTAACATGAAGATCCTAGATACACTAATGGCTAAGTCAAAGTCCAGACTGTCAAAGTCTCAACCTATTTGAGATGCTGTCCATAAAACCACACCTAGAAGCCTTAGTGATCTAAGAATAGATTAAAAAAAGTGGACAATTATTCCACATTAATATTGCAGAACTTTCTTGCATGACTCACTAGTTTAGCGCATATTGCTTCTGTAGTTTACTATGCTGAATTTTTCTAATTCCCCAAGTCTTTATAACTGCTTGGCTTTATGGCTGCTTTTAAAAGGCTGCAAACATCAAAGTGGCCATCGCAAGAGTGTCACTTTACGAGGAACAACAAGCCCCACCTATCTGTTTCAGTTCCTATCCCTTTTGTGTAGCCAATGCCTAGTCGTATGTGACTGTTTTTTATGCTGTGGAACAAGGAAGGAAACGTGCTGCAGAGGAAGAAGAGAGCTGACGACGCCTCCCTGGCAATAATGAGCCCTGGCTTCCACTCATAGTTAGTTTATCTAGCACTTAGAAACACATTAAAATTGTTTTCATTCTCAGCACGATATCTTAAAATATGTTGGGACTAACTCATTCATTTATTAAATATCCTGGCAGTTCAATCATGAAGACAGCCCTGTATTACTCTTTGAATCCGTTCTTTCTGATGAATATTGGAACAGGTAGAATCCTTTTTTAAATCTGGCACAGGTGCCATTACACAACATTTTGCTTTTTTAATGCTACCCTTGTTTGTTTGCAATATACTGTATTGAGTAAGAATGTTACGAAAGTAAAAGCTACAGCCCTGAATTCCTACAGGTGAATCCATTTTAAAGTTTACGTCTAAGAAAGCATCAGCAGGAAGAGCAACAGTCACCTGTGATCAAAGAGTCAAACAGTAAGAAAAAAGCCCCTTTCTTTTAGACTCTTCATAAAGGATCACCTCAGGCCAAGGCTTCATTTTCGCTGCCGGCTTGGAGCTTTCTGCACTGTTTGTTTCTCACCACACTGTTTTAAGTCAAACTGCAGTAAAGCTGGTAATTATACCCTAAATATGAAAGGCTGGCAGTGTAAATTTGCACTTGTAGCTAAACTGAAGGAGCACTGAAACCTGCAGTTTAAAGGGTCTTTAGACTCTTTTGGTTAAAAAACAAGAGATAAGGGTAAGTAAAGGTTGCCTAAAACACTCTGTGCTGTTACACCAGATTCTCAGTCTGTGAAAATAAGCTCTGACTTCTTTTAACAGTTTACCTAATTGTATCTCAGTAAGAAATAAAGGAATACGAGTCCAAATAACATTGACTGAGCATGAGAAGTATAACAAACCTGAAGCTATATGGCAAAAAAAAAAAAATGGTTTGATAAAGATTTTAACAAATAATGAGGAATGTTGGACTAGAAACTTTAATTAAATGGAGCCAAATCACAGAAATGTTAACTCAAGGGCACTTAACATAGGCAATTGAATCAGATCATACAGACCGTTCTCTGTTTAAACAGACCAAGCTGATTGTTTGATCGTAATGTAGTTTACAACATTAATAATGCAGAGGCGTTAACTTTGATTAAGTTGGCACAGCCTTTATATCAGATATTCAACATTTATAAGTGACAATAAATAAATAGCGTGTAATATTAAAATGCTGTCTCTAATCAAATGTACTTGATTTGTAATTAAATAGATGCAGTTTAGAATAATAAATAATTCCAATCTTGGTTGTTTTATATATTTTTTAAAGTACTTTGTATTGTGGCCCTTGAAGGTAAATGGCTCTATTTCAAGTATCACAACAAAGACTAAATGTCAAACCTTTCAGAAATCATTTTTTTCCCCAGTTTTGGCTTAAATACCTCAGGAAAATTCTAGACGAATGTTTTAAAAAACCTGGTTAAATAAATGTTAAACTCCAACAAATATCATTCCATCAAAATTCAAAGTATCTGTTTTTACAGATACAGTCTTTTATGTTTTTCTTTCTTTTATCAGACACAAAACTCCCTTTGAAGAGCAGCTGATGACACCGCCGACAGAGATGGAAGCTGTCCAAACATGTCAGGTATGTTTTTTTACCAACCGTATACTATCTGAGAGACAAATAACATAGAAGTATGAATGTCACAAAAGGTATGTTTTGCAAGAAATGAACATATACAGCCACCAAAGTACAACACGCCCATGAAATAAAGTGGTGGCAGCATTTTGATCTGAGGTTTTCTGCATTTTAGAAAAAAGAATTTAGGTAGTGAAAATTGTGATTACTAGTTAATTTTTAGGCAAATTAGGCGTGTCATCAAAACTACAGATTAGGAAGGCAGGTTTTTTCTAAGCATCATGGTGAGCCCTAAAATATGTTGAAATAAGAATTTATTAAATAAAACCAGGTTTAAATGCTGAATTCAGAAACTTTATATGATCAGATGGTAGATTTAGAGAACAACTGAACAGAATAAAGAAACATTAGCAAGTTATCTATGCTGAAAGACTTCTCATCTTCCCCCCAATTAAAAAAACATCATAAACTCAGCAGGTTCTCTAAAGTTTTCTTTTAAAAATTTTTCGAAAAACAAGGGGCTGTTTGTCATCCAGATGGATGGCTAAAAAAAATGCAGGAATAACAGGAAGAGAGTGATGTTAAGGACATTATGTTTAGACCATAATGTGAACTTGAATGAAATACTGTTAAGATAAGAACAGTTACCAGCAGTAACTACTTGATTATAAAAGTTGTTTCCTAAAGCCTGGTAAATGGGGATGCTTCATCCTCAGCACAGGAAAAAATGTGTAACAATAAAACAGGAGGAAGAAAGAGCAACTTCTCAGATCCAGAACTATTCTTTGTGGCGCTCAAGGCTCTATGAATCACAGGCAGGGTGTTTGTGCAGTATGTTGAAACATAAGAAAAGTTGGATTCTCCCAGACAGCCTCTGTTTATCAGCCATCCAGCTCTGTGTTTGATCAGCAGATGTGTATTAACCTTCTGTTCTCAATAACATCAACAGAAAGCCCCTGTGGCTAACTGATCTCCACTCCAGTAACCCGTAGGTGCTGCCTACACACACCGCACCTTCTCCTTATTATTCAGCTGGTGCTACTTCCAACTTTAACAGACCAGGCTGGGAGCTATTTACAGTCCGGAAACCACTCAGCCAGTGGAGTCAGCTACAATGAATCATATTTGAGGTATTTCAACAAAAATAAAGCAATCAACCAACTACAAAAAGTTTTGATGGTACCCTCTCCTTTTAGCCTACATGTTCAGAAAGCAGCAGCTCTAGCTCTGGTGGATCGGACTTGTTTCACATGTGTGTTTAAAGCTGATTTATAACAACATCAACATGGCAACAGAAACAAAAAAAAATAAGTTGTGCAAGAGGAGATAAAGTTTTTGTTATCAGAGAGTGGATACAATCCCAGCAGTCCTTTCATTATAAAAGCCCAGTTTTTTTTTTTTAAGGGAGGCTTTCAGAGAGGATTTAACCTTTAATCCATTAATCATCATATACTGTGAACTTCCAGACTGCTGCTATTATCTCAGATTTATTTGGACTTTAATATTTTCTTCTTTCTCTGAGTCAAGGCTACTCAGTGGCGGTTCTAGACCAAATGTTCCAGGGGGCCGGGAGGGGGGCCAGCATTTTTCATGGGGGCACAGAAAAGCATGAAGCAAAAAAAAAAAACAGGCAAGGTATTCAAATATATTAAAAGAGCTTAATGAAGTGAAATTTCTTCAATTAGGTTTAATTAAAATTATATGTCTTCTAACTGAAAATATTTATGTTTGGCTCAAAAATATTCATTTGGATTATTATTAAAATTAAAATCCCTTAGCACAGCAAAAAAAAAAAAAAAAAAAAAAAAACTCAAGAAATTGCAGCTATATAAATATATATAAAGAAAGATAAAATAAAGCTATTATTTGGAATATTAGTTCAATATACAGTCATCATTTTGGAATGTTATATATTGTTAACTTAATTTAAGTTAAAATTATAATTTCTATAAAATAAGAATTAGAACTCAAGAAAAACTGAAAACTTCAGCTGTAAAAGTTAGAGTATTTTTTTGTATTTGTTTTGAAGAAAAAAAACAACAGATAAAAACTGGGATCCTATCTCAATATCACTGAAGCTCTTAACTAATTGTTTTTAAATAATTAGTTAAACAGAATTTTTTTTAAGAAAAAAAAATTAAATAGATCCAAAGGATCTATCAGAAACCATGTCCGTTCCAGCGCATATCATCATTAGAATTGCTCCTAGTATTATATCTTTAGTACAGGGGTCACAACAGGGTGAGTCCAGTACACGATCTAAAGGGGCACTGGCCCCCGTTTGCCCCTGTCTAGAACCGCTCATGTGTCTACTCCTGCCAAACAGGTACCCTGAGCGCATGCTTTCAGGAGCAGGTGAGGGGCCCCAATTAGGTGCCTCAGGTCACACCGGCCAATTAGAACAGACAAACACAGAAGGAAGCAAATAGATAGTAAAAAAAATAAAACTTCTTACCCAATTTTTAAATCCAAATTCCCAGAGTCTTCACTAGAATTTAGAGCTGTGAGAAAAGCGTCCTCCTCAGTCAGTCTGCTGTCTGAGGGCGGTGCTCAGATCTGGGACACATCCCACATCGGCTACTAAAACTGCTGAGGAGACAGGCAGAGAGACATTTTTCATTATATACAAAGAAAGTAATTTACTGATTACTTTATGGCTGGTTTATGAGCCGGACTGCGGATAAAAACAATGCCGGAAAGAAAAAAGATTTAAAAAATCAATAACAAAGAACTTTATCCTGATGCAAAGTTTATTTTCCCTGAGACTGACAGGCGCCCAAAGTCCCAGGACCCCAGGCTGACAAAAACACTGCGATTCACCGCGTGTCAGCACAATCTCTAATCTGGCTGCTCATTGACGTCCAGTCCTGTACAAACGCTGGAAAAACAGAAAAAAAGAAAAACAAATCTATCGCCCGGACAGAGTGGAAGAGAATACTGCCATCTTGTGGCCATTTTCTCAAACTGCAACTGTGTTTTTCTTCAAATGTCCAACATTGTATATATATATACATATATACAATATAGATTTTTTATTAACCATTTTTTTTTTTTTTTTTTTTTTTTGGAATGACTACGACCTGGATGATTGAGAATTTTCTCCAGGATAGGTCTAAATATTATGAAGTGGATAGATCTGAGCTTTAATTAGTCCCTTATTTTTCAAGTTCTTCAGCCAGATTATTAAATCTTGGTTGATTGATTTGGATTATTAATCTCACAGTAAAGAAATTTACTGGTTACATTGGCTCAATACTCAAAAAAGAAGAAGATGTCAAAAGAAGGAAAATTTGCATGGGTCGTGTATACAGTTTATACAGTGCATCCATATATA